CTTTGGGATCTAATAATGCACACAAATTAATGTAAGTGGAACATAAGATTCGTCTCTTTTCATTTATCCTATCAATCAGTTTGATTGAACTTTATATTTTGATATAATTTAGAGCTGCAGAAAGGGTTTGCCTAACTCTCAGCTGAGAGTTGGGCCTGCTATCAGTCCTCCTTTGAACCTCCCCCATCTCTTCCACCAATTGTCCTCCTTTGAATTTCCCTCCGTTGAATCTTTCTCATCCCATTCAGCAAACGTCCTCCTTAGAATCGCCCTCATCTTTTCCAGCAATCGTCCTCCTTCAAATCTTCCTCATCTCTTCCAGCAATCGTCCTCCTTCAAATCTTCCTCATCTCTTCCAGCAATCGTCCTCCTTCAAATCTTCCTCATCTCTTCCACCAATTGTCCTCCTTCGAATCCTCCTTATCTCTTCCAGCAAACGTCCTCCTTAGAATCGCCCTCATCTCTTCCAGCAATCGTCCTCCTTCAAATCTTCCTCATCTCTTCCAGCAATCGTCCTCTTTCGAATCTTCCTAGTCTCTTCCAGCAATCGTCCTCCTTCAAATCTTCCTCATCTCTTCCAGCAATCGTCCTCCTTCAAATCTTCCTCATCTCTTCCAGCAATCGTCCTCCTTCAAATCTTCCTCGTCTCTTCCAGCAAACGTCCTCCTTAGAATCGCCCTCATCTCTTCCAGCAATCGTCCTCCTTCAAATCTTCCTCATCTCTTCCAGCAATCGTCCTCCTTCGAATCTTCCTCATCTCTTTCAGCAATCGTCCTCCTTCGAATCTTCCTCATCTCTTCCACCAATTGTCCTCCTTTGAATCTCCCTCATATCTTCCAGCAAAGCCACCTCTTGTATGCAAAGACCTCAATATTACTATTTAATCCTCTGCCCAACATTGTTTTATTTATCCTCAAATAAAGAAAATCAGGGTGCTTTTCCAGTGAAACCACACCACATAATTTCCTTGCATTGCAGTTATGCATGGGAAAAACACATGCAGTAGTGTAAATGGACCCTAAATGTCATAAGAGCGGCAGATTTATTTAGACGTTTCACTTATTCATCCTTCATACTTCTGTCTAGGAATACAGACCAATGGTTGCCTCTTACCCATACTGTGTCAGCCAAGCACACTCCCTAGAGATGCATTGAAAGCTGTGGCAGTGACTAGTGATGAGATTGGGCTTGGTGAGAACCCAGTTCACCTGAGTTTGCCCAATCCCGATCAATACTCTGACCGCAGTCAGAGCTAACTGGGGCGAACTCGGGTGAAATGAGTTTGCATGAAGCCCAGGCTCCCACCTTGCAGCAGTCATTCAGCAATCAAAGACGTTGCTTGGAATAAGAATAGTCATTAGAGGGGTGATCCTGCATAATAATTAAAAATGTTATATAGTAAACTTGTAAGAATAAGACAATTCATTTTTTTAGTTCAATGCTACATGAAGCCAAAGCGAATATTTACTGAAGATGATAATTACCCTTTAAACATAAACGTCTTACTACATTTTCTAAACCATTATCCTACACGTCATCCCTCTGTATCTGGAGATTGCCACCCTCTTTTTTTGCTGTTTCTTTTTATTATCATGTATATTCAGTGTGCATGTGTTACTGTAGCATGAAAACGGCGCTTATCTCTTTCTGACAGCTTTTCCTTTTGCCATAGAGCGATTTCCTGTGACCGCTCCATTTACATGGTAGATGTGTAGTGAAAAGAGGGATTTAGAGATTACCGAGGAAACGGTCGCTTCCATTGTTTTTAGTTAATTACTCCAGCGCAATGCTAAAAGGAGCAGATAGTGGATTATTGCAGTGCAGCTCCGAGTTCTTTGTATGGGAAGATAGTTCCTGGAAGTTCGAGGATACTGGGATTAGGCAAGCATTGGATGTGCACATGGCCGTGAATGGGTGCACATTTTAGTGGAGACTGTGAGATAAGATAGCAGACTTTTTATTCTTTTATGATTGATATCTCTATTCCCCTTAACAAAAGAGCAGGTTTACAAGACCCTTTTCACCCTATCACAGGAATTTATAATAACTGTGCTCGTATAGTACAGCGTAAATGGGTTGGAATATTCGAGAGGTGGAACAGGAGGAATTTAAAGAGAAAAATATGAAGAGGTAGTACAGACAAAAATGGCATGATGGTAATCATTAGGCTGAAAACATGAAGCCTTCCTCTGGAATGGTGCCCTGAAATGAAGACTGTAAGCCCACCACTCAATCCAGAGTTAGTAATTTGCTTCTATAGATGTAACACAAAAAATTCTTATTTGCATCTTAAAGTGACATTAGTGAAGAATGTGAAGAAGCCTGAGCTCTGCAGACGTCATCGCGTGATAACAATTGCAATGCTTTCCAGGCTTGAATGCATATTTTAAAGAAATGCATATTTTTAAAATATATTATTAATTATGCATTTCTTTAATTTTGCAATAGGTGAACTTATCCTTTAACAGCTTTAGATGTACTTTTGGTATAAACGGAGCTCACCCAGTTATATTACTAAAGGGTATCCACTACAGGGTGTAGGTCATACAATAGTGAACAGGGAACTCTTTGGGAGTATTTGGAAAACTCACTTAGTAGCTCGGCTTTCAGGCAAGCTCTTAATATCCTAAGCTGTGCATTGTATCAGCGGAGATGTCCCCATTGGGCTACCAGACAACAGTCTAGACATGGCAGGGGGTGTTATCCAATCTCACTCCACCCAAATGGGAAGTTAATCTTTGATTAGAGTAACACTTAATATCAGGAGTTAAACACCCCGCCCTATTTGGGTGGAGAAATCATATTGCATGGAGAGTTTCTGTGCCGCCCATATGATGACATTTTCTTGCCTGCAATGGTAAAACAAGTGAAAAGAAATGGATTCTTGAGGCAAGTTCTTGTTTGACTTTTGTACATATGCACCATTTGTGCTTTCATTTGCAGATTGCTGTCATTTTATGTAGACTTTATCAATCAATGTTCTGGCATTGCTCTCTGTCCCGCCTGTTGCGTCCTTCATCCTCTTCATCTTCTAGAAATATTAAGTTGGCGCGAAGAAAATAAAAATGATAAAGTTGTCAAATGAGTGAAGGATCTGTTGTCGATAGAATGGATCTTCAGCTTACCTCTGTGGCTCGCCCTAGTGCTTTTTCCACCTTTGTATGCCAGAGTTTTTATGTGGAACAAAATACACCATAATACTTTGTGGTGAGGCCTCGGAAACACAAGCCCAACCAGTTTCCCTGTTAAGATGTTTGTCTTGGGGAGGCCTTCGGAGCTTTGGAATATTGGGATTTACTCTAAACTCTCTGCAAAGTGATAAGACAGAGTGTAAAAATCTGGGACTTGACACAACTTGGCTCGGGGCTGGGTTGTTGAGATTTTAGGTCATTTATTGCAGAATTGTAAAATCCCATTCAAATGCAGTTAACACAGTGTCGAAATTGTATCAAGGGTGTCCAAGTTTAGTATTCTGTAAACCTGTTTTCTTTGGCAGAAGTGGCATGTGTCTGGCCTCTTTGGCTTTGAGGGAAGAGTTGACTAACATTCACCTGAACAACAGAAGAACAAAAAAACGAATATTATGAGTGTGTGTTTGTATTTATATGTCCCACTTAGGCCAATCTTATGTCAGGATAGTATCATGATAATTATATCGACTGGGCCTGCTTCAATCTGACAGTTTGGGCGAGGATCGGTCTGTTCAGGGGTACTCTAAGGAAATGAAAATGAGCACTAGTTAAGTCACCTTTATCACTTATGCATGCACGTCCTGCCTCCCAGAAAATCTCCATGTGTCAGTGAAATGTTACACGTGTGCTTCTTCAGTATGTCAGACAAGTAGCATGAGAAACCTCAATGGCTCCAAGTTCTGCAAATGGGCTAATGACTTCCCATTCTTTGCCCTCACGGAGTCATCTTCCCAGCTTTGAAGAGCCCCAGAAAGAGCAAAGTCCTCCTGCACCATAACATTTTATGGTAGGGGAGATAGGGGAGGAAGTTGAGTCCTTAAGCAAGGCAGAGTATATCAGGAAAGTCAGAGGAAGGAGCAGAGTTCTCCGGCTGTAGAGTTTTTCTGGAGAGTAGGAGAATTAAGCTGGCCGAACACTGTGCAAATCTTGCAAAATTCACAAAGTGGGTGTCCCTGACGGCACCCTTCCACCCGGCATCCTTCGATCAGAAAATCAAAGGAACTAGATGGATAATCTTTGGGTGAGAAGTGACTGCACTGTTCGAGTATTCTGCAAGCGTCATGGCTGCCGCCATCAGAATGCAGAGGACAAAGCGGGAGATTCGTCAATCCACACTGTTTAGCATGCATTGAGGAATCTGTTATTTTTTTCCGTTCAGCCCACAGACTGAACAAAAAAGATATAAGAGCAAATGGCCAGTTTTAGATGGAGGAAGGAGCAGGGTCCTCCAGCACAGCAGAGTATTTCAGGAGAGGAGAGTTATAGAGGAAGGAGCAGAGTCCTCCAGCAGAGTATTCTTGGGAGAGGAGAGGTATAGAGGAAGGAGCAGAGTCCTCCAGCAGAGTATATGAGGAGCAGTATAGAGGAAGGAGCAGAGTCCTCCAGCAGAACAGAGTATTTCAGGAGAGGAGAGTCATAGAGGAAGGAGCAGAGTCCTCCAGCAGTGCACAGTATATCAGGAGAGGATAGTTATAGAGGAAGGAGCAGAGTCCTCCAGCAGAGCAGAGTATATCAGGAGAGGAGAGTTATAGAGGAAGGAGCAGAGTCCTCCAGCAGAGCAGAGTATTTCAAGAGAGGGAGCAGAGGCCTTGTGTGGTGCAGTGGTAAAGTTAGGCTACTGTCATGCATTTGTATAAAACATTTGGTATATTTACAAAAAGATAAAATGGGGCTAATGTTTTTTTTATACGACTGTTTGTTTCACATCAATTTTTATGGTTTTGCTCTCATGCAGATACATTACAAATACATTGGAAGGTAAGAGAGCAAAGAACCTATAAAATCTCATGTCATTTCTCTTTCTCATAGTGTTGTTCCTCAGACAACTGTGATCCTGAATAATGAAAGACAGAACTCTGTAGTGGCCAAGCTGCAGAGCCAGGAGGAGTCAGTGAACAAGACAACAGAGAGTCTGGAAAATATACTCAATAGGTAATCACTTTCTCTACATATCAGCTGCATGATAAAAAAGGAGATTAGGACTGCAATGTGCAATGCTTTTTGGATTTTTTTTTAGCTGGGTGCGTCCACAATAGTCTTACACTTTGCCTCAATGTATTAATATGGTTTGCAATAGTACATCTGCTGCCAGTCATTGTGTGAGACACTGTCAGCTGACTAAACAGCATCAGGGAAATATCCTGAAAGTAAAACGTTTTTCCCTAACCCTAGTTGTATTCAAAGCTGTACATTAGAGCTGCAACAACTAATCGACTAAATCGATATATGAGAATAGTTGGCAACTATTCTCATCATCGATTTGAGAGGAAGGGAGGGGGGGGGGGAAGGAAAAGAAGAGAGAGAGATAGAGAGAGAAAATCGATTAGTTGTAAAAATAATCGGGTAACTAATCAATTATGAAAATAATCCATTGCTGCAGCCCTACTGTACATGATATATCCGTTTTCTGCAGCGTTACAGAATATGCTGGCGCTATATAATTAAACGCTATATAATTAAACAATAGACTTATAGTGGAGTTTACAGGCAGATTAGCCATTGTCCCTTAATAGAAATTGCTGTGATGAAATGGTTGGTTTGTATTCCAGTGCGGTCCCTGGACGAAGACATAACACCATCGTGGTGAAGGTACCAGGCCCAGACGAGAGCCACAGTCATGACGATAACGACAGTGGATCAGAAGCCAGCGACACGCTCTCCAACTCGGGACACTCTGGAAACTCCAACATGGGGAACAACGTTACCCTGATCACTCTCAACTGTGAAGGTATGTTCAGCTTTGCATGTCCAGATATATTGGGGAATGACATATACTGAATGGGCCCCAGACCAAAGGGGCGGAAAAGTGCAGAGTCTTTAACTATACACTCACAAAAGAAAAATAACTAATGCTTTTCAGGGGCAACACCCTTCATCAGGACTGTTGCTGATCACATTGTGCAGCTTCAGTCCAAAAGGAGAATTCAACCCACACTCAATAGGAGATTCCTTTTGATTCCACTCCTTTGAGTTTTTTTTATCTCCCAATATTGTTTGATGAAGGGGGAGCGGTGTTGCCCCTGAAACGCATTGTCTGTTTTTTCTCTGTGAATGGATAATTTAAGACTCTTTGGACTTTTTGACAATTTGGTCTGGCACCCATTTAGTACATGTCTACACTCTACGCTTCTTCCGGGTACCCTACTAAGAGAGATCTGTTATGTGGTTGGAGCCGCCTTACCAGAGCCGTGAGATTGCTTGGAAAACTTTGATGCATTTGGACTTTTGAATGAGCATTGAGGTCCCAGCGCCTCTTAAATATTTGTCTCTGAAGTTTGCACCGAGGTATGAGGCTTTGTCCCTGTGCAATTTGATGGCACATTACCTCCCTCAGTCTGAGTCTCAGGTCACAAACATCTCACCATATTCTACTTACCTGCTTCTGTTCTGGCTGATGATCAGTGTTTTTATGGGATCCCTATAATTGTCCCGGCCAAAAGGAAAGACCATTTAGGGTTGTATAGCTCTTGTTTCACATTCTTTCGCTGTCCCATTTAGGATAAAGGTATTTTGCATCTGTCCAGGTCAGTTATACCCAGGTAGGTTTGGCCAATCACAGTGGATGAAAGATCTGTTGCAGATTGGGCTTCAAGAGAAATCTCAGTGTGACCCGATCTGTCCATGTGTAAGAAGATTGAACTGTAGGTTTAAGTCCTCACGGTCTAGAGGTGCTGTAGCCGGCCATGTAACAAGGACAATGTCTTTTTTTTATTTAATATAATGTTATTTGTACCCCATCTTCCATCCAACTTCAAGTTTTTATTATTACGTTAAAGAGGAACTTCACCCGTGTTATACAAATAACAATAGTTATTTGTATAGTTATTTGTTATTTGAACTTCACCCGTGTTATAAAGACACCAATAGAAATGTTTAGTAATAACAATATACAAAAAGATTCTTATACATAATTGCCGGCTTTTTATTCTTTGCATGCCTTATTTTTCCTTTGCTCCCTATTGCTCCTCACGGCAGCCATTTTCCCTAAGTGCAAATTAATCTCCCCTTACTTCCTGGAACTCTGGGCCCCCTTCCTGGAACCCGTGACAGAGCACATCATCTGAGGGAGAAAAAGATGCCCTTCTCCTGAGATCTTGCATGGTTTAGCAGGTTACGGATGAGATTTATTTGCACTTTAAAAGCATACTCCACCTTTGCAGACCATTTTTGTGTAACATGAAACATGATCGCATTCTCCAGACCCCAATCCCCACACTCACCTGAATCATGGGGTTCATCTCTCTGCAGCATTTTGCATTTGTTTGGCACAACCATACATGGCTCTACCAACACAGCCACGTCATTCATTCACAGATCCACTCACAGGATCTCAGAATGAAGAGACTAGAAATCCCTCGTATTTCTCAATGGAGCACAAGTGCAGTGATGTCATCACAGTTGTCCATTGATTATTTTCTCCAGCCCCATAACCGAAGGTCTGCACCTCCATATTGACTTGGGGCTGGAGAAACAGTCTGCAGGAGCCTGTGCATTGCAGCCGAGATACAATGATCATGGGTGCAATGCTTTGCAGGCTCCAATGCCAACAAAATTAATACATGCACATATTTTTTCATCAATATGGCTGCAATGATTATTATTTTTTTTTTAAAAGGTGTACTGCGCCTTTTAATGACTTTTCATTCTTTCCAATTAATATGTATATTTACACTTCTCTAGGGTAAAAGGTAATGATGTCACTAGATTGTGATGGCTCAAAGGTCTATGCTCTCATATGTTTTGCTAAAAATAATATTGGCTTTTCTGTTACGCGTAGGCGATGATCATACTTTAAAACTGTCCTCGGTTTGTTGTGTCATACTTTAATCCCAGATGTCCCGCACGGCCCTGTACCAGTGGTTCATAAGTCTCGTGTTTATAGAGTAAAACTGTGGGTGCAAGTCTTGTAATTGCAAAGCAGTTTTCCCTGTTCGGAGGGAGTGCCAGGCCCTTTTTTTTTTTTCTTCCCCCTGGTTGCATATGGCAAGTCCAAAGCACAGCTGGCCATCGTGCATTCGAGCATGGTTTCTGTCATGGGAGAAAAGAACGTGAAGTATGACTGATTGGCCTTGGGCAGCTGCAAGTACATTGTAAACATGGCAGCTCATTCAGCGCTTTCTGTCTCTGTACGGGCTCATGTTGAATCTACTCTTAAATGCCTGAAAGTTTATACCTACTGGCTCCGACACGAACGCGTATGGCGGTTACTGGAAGCCTTAGACAGCAGGCCCAGCGGCTGGCTGCATACCTAATCATGCCAAGTCATTGGCACAAGTTACTCTTCAAAAAACAAACACTTTCATTGGCAATGATCCGTTCTTCTCCAAGCAGGAAATTCGCATCAGGACGTATTCTTGTTTGCAGCTATGTCAGCTGCTCGCTGGTTTTAATTCCGTTTTTTAATGGAAAAGTGTGAGAAATAGCTGCGAGCTACGACTCATCTTTTGAAGAAATTAACGCATTCCATAGCAGATTTTGGTGCTTCCTCGTTTTTCCACATCCGTGTTTCTTTTTTCTTTATGGATATCCTCCGAGGAATGTTAGAAGCAGGCTGGACTCTTGCATGTAAGGACTGTACTCACAAGCTTCGTCAATGGAGATGGAACGGAATCTATCTGGGAAAAAAATAAAATGATTTCACCTGCCAAACTTGTGTGTTTTCTCTGCAAACAAAAGTTGTTATGGAATGCACATTGCTAGCGCCATAACCCACCTTTTTCAAACAGGATATAGATGATTGCTGCCTGCCAATAATCTCAACAACTGGAAGACATTATTTATCCCTGGTGGCACTTGCCGTGACCGAGAATCGGTGAGAAAGTGAGCTCTGAACTTGCACCTCTGCGTTCCAGCAGTAAAAATGAAATTGTTATTCATAAGCATTTTCGGCAATCTCGTAGTTTCTATCGCGGTCTAATCTCTCCTTGGCGCTGGGTCAGGCTGGGTGCAAACCCTTCATATTTTTCCGATATCAACCACAAACTGCCATTTTAGGAAAAGAAAAGTAAGTCTTGCCTGCTGAAGTCTTGTAACGCTGGGCTAAGTCTGCTATGACCTCCACTTCCTAGAAATTCTCCCAATAGAGGCCTGTCATGGTGTTATCTACAGACCTGAGACTAGCTGCTCTACTCTTGCAGAGTTGCTTTGTTTTGAGTCGCATTCTTGTAGCTGCAGAGTTGGTGCCGGTCGTTGTACTGAAGCCAGGCAAGCCTTGACTCCGCATAACTTGCGGTGAAGCACAAGTTCCAGTGCTCTGGGCCTTTTCCATTTAGATGAGCCTTTGATGTTTTCCAAAGATTGTTTCAATAAGGCATGGGAAATTCCAGTTACTCCAACGAGCCCTTGTCATTCGCAGGCCCGTTGATGCCCGGCGCACAGACCTTCCCAGAGTTTGTTGTTCTTTGGCAGCCATGTCAGAGGCTGTGTGAGTTTTCTCATCGAGAAAACAGCTTCTCTCTGTGTTTTCATTTCCCAAAGAAAGCACGATCTGTCAGGATGGCTCGAGAAGGCCAGACGTTTGATTTGTTTGTTCGGGAAGTGTAAAATCAGTCTTATTAATACTATTCAAAAGCAGCTTATCGGCGTAATCACTGTTTCCATACTCGCAGTGTGATGATAACACAGAAAGTTGATATTAGGAAGGGATAGATGACAGGATGTGACAACTAATTTGTTCTTTTTCTTGGTCCTCTTAAAGGGATTATGGCTATTTTGGAAGTGTTACAGCTTTCCACACTTGTTAATCACTGACTTACATCTTGTAATGGTGGTTATAGACAGCCCAGTTATAAGCCAGTCTTATTATTTCGAGCATTGGTCAGGATAATTTAGCTGTTTTTGCTCTTCTAGGAGGTCATAAAAAGCCCCTATGGCAAGGTAAGGTGTTTGTTGTTGCACAGTTGTTGCTGTGTGGCAGAGAAAAGGAGCAGAGTACTTTAGTCGGAGACATTGTCAATATTAGGCAAGGATTGTTATGAGTCCTAGTACTCTGGCAATGACCCACATCTTCTAATGGTGTACCATTTATAGGTAAGTTTCCATATTTTAAGCATTGGTTGGGGTAACGAAGCTGTTTTAGTTTTCCTAGGAGATAATACAGGTGAAACTCGAATAATTAGAATATCGTGCAAAGTTCATTTATTTCACTAATGCAACTTAAAAGGTGAAACTAATATATGAGATAGACTCATTACATGTAAAGCAAGATAGTTCAAGCCGTGATTTGTCATAATTGTGATGATTATGGCTTACAGCTCATGAAAACCCCAAGAACCCCAAATCCACAACCTCAAAAAAGTAGATTATTACATGCAATCAATAAAACAAGGATTGTACATAGAACAATATCGGACCTCTGATAAGTACAAGCATGCATTTGTACTCAGTACTTGGTTTGGGCCCCTTTTGCAGCACTTACTGCAATTACTTTTGCACAATATTCTAATTATTCGAGTTTCACCTGTAAGTAGCTCCTATGGCAGTCTAAGGTGCTTGTTGTCACACAATTGTTGGTGTGGAGCAGAGAAAAGGAGAACAGTACTTTAGTTCCAGTTAAGGATTGCAATGGGTCCTAGTCCTCTAGTAATGACATCTTGTAATGGTGGCCATAGTAGACAGCTATAAGCCGTTCTCCTTAGTTTGAGAATTGGTGAGGGCAATCAAGCAGTTTTTTCTCTCCTAGGAGGCATTAAGGAGCACCTATGGCAGGCTAAGATGCTTGTTGTTGCT